AACCTCCCGGTGCGCTTGCTGCGGTGTCACGGAAAAACCCACAAAGCCCTTCACACCTCATTGCTCTCGCCTGAGCCGAGTTCCCAACCCGTAAGTTACAACACAAAGAAGTTGCCTTTCCCGAATATTTAGTTTTGTCATTAAATCTCATGGCTTTCACACCTTAACCTTCTTGCTTTCCTCATCTCCCTCAGTTTGTTGCGCAACAAACATCAGCCGGTGCTAAATATCCCTGACCACAGCCTGACCAGGGTTTAGAAATACAAGCCAATAAAAGGTTTATTTTCTAAGATCACAAGATAAACCAGTCCCCTACCGTCAATCAGCAGTCTGCAGCGCCGGCTGGTGTGGAGGAACCTGCCAGACTACGGCTCCCATAACCGCGCCGGTCGCGCTCCCGCGTACGAGGGCAGGCAGTAAAAATAATTCGGTTGGGTTTAAGGTCGTGCAGCAAAGCAGGGGGACACCGTGCCTTTTTGACACGGAAGCTAAAACTCTGCGTAACCTCCTTTATACTGCCCCGTCCCTCCCAGGGGAAGGCCACCGACCCCCCCCGAGGCCCCTCCAGACCTCTCCACCACCCAGATGTCAAGTGGTGCCATACGCAGCTCTCAAGAAATATAAACACCACTTATTTTTTAGCGGCCTGGTGAAACGTGTATATAAAACAAGCAGTAAATAGTAGTCCTATCTTTGTGTCACGAAACAAACTAAAAAAAAAGAAAGGGTAAGAGTTGCCTGAACTGGTTTTCCACTGCAGTGCCAGGAAAAGGCGCCTCTACCCCAGCCAGCCTTGCTGCTCTCGCAGGGACCTTCCCCGCCAGCCCCCGCCGCACGGCCACCGGCCTGTCCGGAGCATCACGCAATGGTTTGGGCTGGAAGGGACCTTGAAGATCATCTCGCTCCCCCCTGCCCTGGGCAGGGCCACCTCCCCCAGCCCAGGTTGCTCCAAGCCCCGTCCAACCTGGCCTTGGACACCTCCAGGGATGGGGCAGCCACAGCTTCTCGGGGCAATTTCTCTGTTGGTGATCCTCACACACAAGACTGCAGTTCTGCGATTTTAGGCTCTGGAGGTCTTCACATCCCAAGGACTTCCCTTCCCCTCCCGGCAGCGCCCACACGGCCGCCTGCTTTTCTCCCCCCTGCTTGTTCAGCTTGGCTTGCTGGAGCTATTTATTCTCCTTCCTTCTGTCTCGGGACGACTGTCTCGAGGCACTGCTGCACCGCAGGAGGAGTGACGAGCGGTAATGGGATAGAGGGAAAATAACGAGTAGGGAAGGGGATTTTCATCTTCTGTAAACAACATGTAACCTCTGAAGCACAGTTCAAATCGCTGGCTCAGCAGTTACCGAACCCTTATATTACGATATCGCTTGACTAATAATTAACCAGAACGACTCATTAAGCCGCTGACACTGGTCAAACTGCACGTTCCCATAGGAATCTCAGCTCAGCACGGATTTCCCCATTTATTAGAAAATGAGCCCTGTGGAAGCAGATACGACCAGATGAGAGACCGTCTGTTCTTCCAGCTTAAACCCAGCTTTGAAGAACGGTTGTTCCCGAGGCTGCACTCTGGCTGACTCCCGCGGAGGCAGGACTTTTGGCCTCTGGACACGCAAGCCCCAGCTCTGCGCAGCCCGGCACCTCCGGCGCCTCGGCCGGGACGGTTGGCCAACCCAAACACACCTCCCACCGCCTTCCACCGGGGCCAAGAGCCGCCGGCTGAGTGTGCCCGGGCTCCTTTCCGCGCGAGGCAACGCGTACGTTAAAAAGAGACGGGGAGGCACAGGGGAATGAAAGGAGAAGGGGAAAGAGGTGGGGAGAAGCAGCTGTTTTGCAGCCCACTGCTAACGAGAGCGCACGCGGTCTACGCTGCCGACAGGAAGTCAAACAGCAAAGTCTGACCACTGACAGCAGCGTGGAGACATGAAACTTCTTCCCTTTCGTTGACATCAAAGTTTACTTCATATGCAGTCAACTAATTTTTCATCGCAACACCCAACAAATGAATGAGTCGGCATCAGCGTGAACTGACCACATCAAGGCTAGCCCGGAACCACTGCGCAGCGCCACGCAAGCAGCACTGCTCGGAAATCCGGAGGGAAGCGTTATCCCGCACAGACAGGGCGATAAAAATCCTTGTCGGAGCTCAACTTTCAGTTACCAGAGTCAGATAAAAGCCAGAAGAATAAACCCCTTTCTAATCATGCAAATAATTTGGAGAAACAAAGCTGCAAAATATACATCCTGACAAAGGATTTAGAAGTTCTCCCAGTATTTTATGAGCATTTCCAGCTTCTTGCCTTCCTGCGGGCTGAGTAGACATACATGTTAGTCTCTTCCCTTGAGTGAGGGAAGGAGACAGATAATTAGCACGCCGGAAATGTAAGCATAATAAATCATGCTCTGAATTAAAGCAACTCTAATTTTCTACTGTCACCGTCTCAATTTTCCACGGGGATTAAAATTGTGTAACATGTATTTCCACACTAAGGGATCCCACCAAAACCTGCAGCCATGACCATTGGCTTCACGGCGGTTGTGACTCACACCAAGACCCACAGCAGCTCCTTCCCGCCGGCCCCGAGCTGCCGCCCGACACCGGGGGCCGTGGGGACAGCCCCGTCCCTTCCTGCGCCGCCGCAGCCCCAGGCTCCATCAGCCACCCCACACCGCCTCCAGAAACTAACGCTGCGCCGCTGCCAGAGCCACAGCCTCAACCGCTGTCCTACGGGCACGGCTCTGCTTGGGCGAGTTGTTTTAAGATTCCTTAGAACTAAGGATTATTTGGAAGTGCAATTAGTATTTTTTTCTTAAATTATTCCTCCTCTTTTCACCCCTGACATTTCTTAGACAGATTAGTTTGGGAATACCGCAGAGGAAAGCTTTCTAGCTTTATATAAGCCGAGTAAACAGAATACAGTTTGCACAGCTCGGACTTGAGCCGCGTGTATCCCCTTACAGAGGAACGAAAACAAAACCCGGTGAAAAGCAAAGCGCACAGCAGCACAGGTCTGTGAGGACGAAGCCCGGTAGGACGGGAGAATACAAACCTCGGAACTCAGCAGGGAAGCCCACGGTCGGCAGGAGAATCCCTCACGCTCCAAACGATGCCAGCGTCAAGAGTAATGACACGAAACACTGCAAATGGCCGTCTAGTGTGGAAACACCCAACGGTTGCGGGGACTGCCTTACAGCCGTGCCTTGGGAACCCCCACACCTTCACACCGACGGCCTTCCAGCTGTTCCCGCTGGAGCCGAGCACGGGCAAGGAAAGCAAACCCGCAGAGATGGTTTGTCGCTCGCCATGACCGACGGTCAAGTGATAGGACGAGGGGTAATGGGCATAAACTTGACCATAGGAAGTTCCATCTTAACATGAGAAGGAACTTCTTGACTTTGAGGGCGGCAGAGCAGTGGCAGAGGCTGCCCAGAGAGGTGGGGGAGTCTCCCCCTCTGGAGCCATCCCAAACCCGCCTGGACGCCGTCCTGTGCCACTGCTGGAGGTGCCCCTGCTCTGGCAGAGGGGTTGAACTGGATGAGCTCCAGAGGTCCCTTCCAACCCTGACCCTAACCATTCTGTGATTCAGTGCCTGGGACTGGTTACACAAACACTCCCACAGCCTGCAACGCACGGGGACCTTCGCAGTCGGCTCCAGTTCAGAGAATATTCCTTCCTTCCTTCCCTAGCTGCTTTGCTGGCCAGGTTGACCAAGGCTGGGGACAGAAGAGCACCAAAGCGGTGGAGCGGGCACGCTCCTCCGCGCAGCCGGGGGCGCCGCAGCAGGGAAACCAGCCGGCCAAGCGCGGGCTGAGAAAGGGGCTCCAGGAACACCCACCCCTCGGGTCCGCAACTCCTCCTCCTGGCAAGCGAGAGGTCTGAGGAGCCGTACCTGTCTGTGCTGCCCACCTCCCGCTGCCAGTCGGATCGGGAGATGACGGCTGTAGGGAACGGCCGCTCAAATCCCACAGGCGGGGCGCCGGGCTGAC